ATTCAGCTTATTGCTCTCAAGTCAGTACTAACTTAAAGTTTGACCCTCTAGAGGGTTTTCAGAGGCTGTAAATTGCACAGGAGACAGTCCATCCTTCTCCCCAGGAGCAGCTGGTGGAGTTGAACCATCTGTCTTTGGGTTGTTAGCACAAATCCTTACCGTCTCGGCCACCAGAACTAAAACAAGCCATCCAAATATATCGTTGGCTTACTCACCTCTAGACAGAAGGATGTTATCATAGCATGACAAAGAAGTAACACGCCTCAAAAAAACCCAAGAAAATTTGTCCATGGGTACTAAGACCTGGGAGGTCTCAAAAGCTCAAACAAATAGTCAAAGTGATGAGGAAATAAAATTTGCATTGACTGAAGATAACTGTGAAGCCCAAACAGGAAGCTGAGCAGGACAAGAAGAACAAAATATTTCTAGTCACATCGAACATCCCTGTCCTTCCATACCTTTCAATTCCTCCTCCGTCTGTACCTTGACTTTAGCTAAGAACAAAGAATAGTGTACTAAGAAACGTTGGAGAAGAATATGGATAAAATTTTTGTTACTGATAGAGTTGCCCAAGACCCACAGGGAAAGGCATAATAGATACAGGGTAAACAGGGCACTGAGAACTGTGGGACACTGAGGATTTGAGATGATATATGTTTGGGAATGTGAACAAAAAGAAAGATCCTGAACCTGGGCTCTATAGACATGGGTAAGAAGACAAGAGAGCTGGTATCAACCTTGAAAGAGTCTTTTTGAAAATGCCTTTCTCAATTCTTTCTTTCTGAGCTCCATAGGAGATAACAATTTACTGAGAGCTATTTTATCAGCTAAAATAATGGCGCTAATTTCTTGATCCATGTTCCCATAGAGGGAAAACTTAACTGATAGGCTGGAGCAAGACTTGCAGTGAAGAAAAGCATGACTCAGAGATGGGGCACTCTGGGTAAAGTCAGTGAATGTTGATAGAAAACTACATAACTGATCTCAGTGTGTTACATGTTCGTATTGTATTTTCCCTTTCAGAACATCACTAGAATGTTGAGAAATTAGACAGGACTATCATCTGCTACCAGTAGATGGCTCAGAATGTAGCATCCATGCTCTGCTGATGGCCAAGGTTTTTAGTATACAGATGATGAAGTGGTTGACAAGTCCAAAGTGTCATCATAATAGCTGTGATAGTGGTGTTAACAAGCCCCTAGCACTGGTCCTGCTTGTCAAGCAAAGTTTCTTAGGGATGGTTTTGGAAAATTCACAATATTCAGTTCTATTGACAGTTAAACAAACTCCTCTCTCTTTGGTTCCAAGCAAAAAAGGAGATGCCACATCTTAATAAACCTTCACGGCCTAGTAGGGAGCTCTAATGGCTTAATGCTGAGGAGTTATGCTGCTACTCTAAAGGAACATGGTTTGAATTTACTAGCTGTTCTATGGGAAAAGAATGGGACAATCTCCTCCTGTGTAATGTCTCTGAAAAGCTGCTGGAGGATTAGCTATTAGTGTGTTCCAATTCGATGGTTCATAACAACAATAGTGACACAATGGTTTAAGTGCTGAGCTTCTCAGAAATGTCAGTGGTTCAAATTCACCAGCTTCTCCGTGGGAGAAAGAGGAGCCATTCTATCCTTGTATTCAGTTCTGGAAATCCTATAGGGCAATTCTACTTGTCCTATAGGGTCACTATCACTATGAACCAGAACCATCTCGACAGCAGCAGGTTGAGTCTGGTTGAGGTGGCATAGCTGATAAAATGCTTGGCTGTTGCTAATGCTCCAGGCTGGTAGTTTGAATCCACTAGCCAATCTGTTAGAGAAAGATGAAGCATATGATTCTCTAAAGCTTTGCAGCCCTGTAAACTCTATCATGCAGTTCAACTCTATCCTAAAGTGTTGTTATGGACAAGAATTGTAGGATTAGACCTAATAATAATATTTTTAAAAAAAAAACAAATACCTCATTAAGACTCTCTGAATAACAGAGACAGCACATGATGCTACTAACAGCGGTTCTCAAATGAGAACAGGCATAAACATGAAATAGCACATTGTTTCAACAATAGTAGTCTTGGTATTTCTATTTCCAACTTTTTGAGAAAGCGCCAGCCTACCTTCCATAGTGGCTGTATCATTTTACATTCCACTACTGGGACTATACCATAAAGAAACCAGGGCCATGACTCAAACAGATGTATGCACACTCATGTTTATTGCTGTGTTATTCACAATAGCAAAGAGACAGAAGAAACCCAAGTGCCCATCAACAAATGAATGGATTGAAGAACTATGGTACATTCACATAATACTTACGCAGTATTGAAAAACAATGAACTTGTAAAACATTAAACATGGGGGAGCCTGGAGGACATTAGGCTGAGTGAAATCTCTGTCATAAAAAGACAAATACTGCAAGAATAGGAAAAGAGTGGATAGACAATGAACACTGCAGTGGATGAGGGCAAGAACTGTCTGAGAGGAATATATGATTAGGCTTTATATGCATGACAACAATATGGAACAAGGGGTGCAATACGGGGAATGCTGGGGAGATGGGGGGCAAGAAATGTGCAACAATGAAAAACAATTAAGAGCAAGTATGTCAGTTTAAAAACAAAAAAAGAGTAGTTCTGTATTGTCATGTATGACAATCAAGGGTACAACCAGTCATATCACCATAGTGAACTGATCAATCTTAGAGATTGGTGATCCAAATCAGATTCAAAGGAACTGGCAGGGACCCTTCAGGTTATGGTGCATCTTTGTGGGAATATGAACAGAGAAGGTCTTTCCATTGAGCTTTCTGTCCTATGCTTTGTGTGATTATTGACACCAAAGATCAGCAAGTCAGTCAAAGCTCCTTTGTGAGTCATAACAGAGAATAGTTACTTCCTCTCTGCCTGTTAAAAAGATCTATTGGTTCTCTCTTGGGACTTAATCACAGTTGACTGATCAAGGCTCCAGGGAATGTAAATGCTGAACAATACTGTACATTAGCTTCACTATGCTGCTGAGTCTTGTTGATAGTTGCTTTGTTGTAACACCCACTGAAAGGCATTGATAATGACCAAATAACCACCTCTCAGAACAGATGAACCAGAGTGGCAAACTGAGTAGCATACTCACATGGAAATTCAAGTTTGACCAAGAACGTATCAACCTAAGAGGTAGACTGTTGGAAGAGACTAACATCACAGATGGTCTTGAAATCTATTTTGGGGCCCAATAATACAGGGTTCTGCCTGTTCTTTACCCAGTCCAGGTCTCTGAGTTATGCTTGCAGCCATCAATGTTGAAATATAAGGTAACAATTTTTTTGGACGAAGAGCAGAATAGCTTCTATTTGCTATATTGTTGACTGCAGTCGAGTAGAGCACAACTCATAGTGACCCTATGAACAAAAGACCTGAAGCCTACTGTAACTATCGTTGTTTATCAAAGTTCATAGAGTTTCCAGAGGCATGTGATTTAGGAAATGGATACCACTCCTGCTTCCAAACCTGTCTTAAACTGGGAGTTCCACAAAACACTGCCCACCATGGACAGTCATTATGGCATTTGACCCCAATGGCACAAGGTTCAGCATCATAGCAACACCAGGTCACCTCAGTACAGCATATTGACAGAAGAGTGCTGTACCACTTAGAAGAATATTCCTCCAAAATATATTAACTGTCTTTTAAATACAAAGACCCTCCCTGAGGCCTTGACTCTAAACAAGAGGCTTAAATAAAAACAAGCAATATAATGTTGTTGTTATAACTATTTGCTATAAAAGTAGTAAATATCCCAAGCTCACCTTCTGTAACTCTACTTAGAGTGTACACAGGCTTTTAATTACTGACCCCTGTGTTGCCCCAATGGAATCTAAGGAAATATGGAAACCGATGCAAACTAGTAAGAAGCTACAGCTACTCCTTTTGCTATAAAGAATAAAACTCTCTGTTTCACATCTGTCTCATTGCTGTTTTCAGGGTGCTATAAAACACATGGGGAACTGTCTACCTTTCTTCCTTGGAGCCATTTAAGAGTGGATTTGAACCATTAGAGAGATGTTGCCTTTGGATTAGCATTACAACTCCCTATAGACTATGCCACCAGACACTTAACAGGTTAAACTTGAGTTTTTCAGTAAGGCAAAATCTCAGATTCTATATTGTATTGACAGGCATAAATTTCTTCCTGTAAATCTGGATTTTAGGGACTATGATTAGTCTATTCCTAAATTTATTATTGTTGTTAGATGCTGTCAAATACAACTCATAGCGACTCTATGAACAACAGATCTGAAAACCCTGTCCTATCACATGCCTTCATCATCTCTGAAACACTCGAGTCCATTGCTGCAGTCACCATATCAATCAATCCTACTGTGGGGGTGTATGTCTTTCTCTGTTTCATTGACCCTCAACCCTTCCAAGCATGATATCCTTTTTTATTATTAGTGTGATATATTAAACATTTTTCAAATATTTAGTCACTTGTTATTGTTGTGTACTGTTGAGTCAGAGCCGACCCATAGCTGACCTTCTGGCAGGTTTTCAGAGGCATTTAATTGCAAAGGAGGAGATTGCCCATCCTTCTCCCGCGGAGCCATTGGTGGCCTCAAAACACGCGTCTTTGGAATTGCAGAGCAGCTTCTTGCCACTAGGTCAGCAGGGTCATTGTTGTTGTTAGGTGCCATTACCCTATCTGTGACCCAAAATGAACCTGTGTACGATAGCTCTGAACCCTGCCAGTCTCACTAATTCTAACACACCAACCTCCACTGCCCCAGTTACTGTATCAATCCATCTCATCTGGGGTCTTCCTGTCTTGTGCTGTCCCTCTACCCTTCCAAGTATGATGTGTTTCTCCAAGGATCAGTCCCTCCTGGCCACATGCCCAAAATATGTGAGAGAGCTTCAAAATTCTAGCCTCCAAGGAAAAACTTGGTTTCACCCTCTCCAACACAGTCCTATTTGTTTCTTGGCAGTCCAAGACTCAAGTCCAAGAGTCAAGACCACACTACAAAAATAAAAAACCCTCTGAGTCCTGTGAATTTAGCTGTGTGTGTCTGTGTCCAGTAACAATTTCACAGTCTGTCTGAAGCACTAACAGTACCAAATCCAATGCTCGGCGCCATGCCTCAATCTTTGGTGTAATGGCATCATAAACCTCTGGAATATGATCCAATTTATTGGAAACATCTGGCTTAAAAATCCCACAATTCAATTTACTGTATTCACTTAAGATGTAAGATAAAGGAGAGCCTGAGTCTATAGCTTTTTGTAGATGATGTTGAACAAATGTGCTGGCTTCAACTTCTGATGAGTAACTGGCAGTGTTATATATGAGAGTTGAGAGGTATTTGTGCCATCCATTTGCCAGGCATTTAAGCACAGTTGGCCTGTATAGTGCTAGAGATGAGGCCAGCCAAGAGCAACTATTATGAAGCCAACTGGAGCAGGCTTGGCTCCCTTCTTTCAGAGATTGCTCCTCAATAATTTGAAGATGGCTAAGACATAAAAATTCAACTGCTCCACCTCCAAGAAAGACCTTTTGCTCTTTAAGGGCATAATACAGACGGTAGGCACAAGTCCAGAACTGATCCTCTTTGGTTTGCATCTGTGCAATGACGGGGCCAGCAAGCACTGCTGTAACCAAATTAATGCCTTCTGTTTGTAACAAGACTGCTATTCCGTCTTTCTTATCTACAACATTCCAGGGTACACTTTTCCAGATGGTCACATAGACCCCACTGCCAACACAATCTTCATCTACCTGTGTAACGTAGGTCAACTGTATTGCTCCTGTAGCCTCTGCAAACGCCTGCATCACACTGCCACTCACTGACCCAATTACCAATCGTTTACTATACATGCATTTTTCAATTAAAAGTTTAGATATATTTCCTTGTGCCAGTACAAGGTGCACATTGTACTGGATTAAGATCTGTAATATGTGATTTGCCCACAGTTCTTCTGGGCTGTCTTGGTTAACCATCACACTTTCAAACACTGTTTTAATATTCGTAGATTTATTAAATCCTGGGTGGTGGTAATTCTCTGTAAGATCGCTTTGAATCAGAACTACCCGGATAGGCTGATCCTGCAACTCCTTGATCAGGGCAGCACTCAATACTGATACAAGAGTGACATATCCTGGACAGACACAACTCAAAGTTTCAGGTAAACCTGGCAAACAGCAAGTGAAGATTCTCGACACATCAAACATAAATGGCATCGTGTAGTCACCTTGTTGTGCACGTGTATTTTGATACTGTAGCCATACAGCTTCTTCTACTAATTTCATGCTGTTGTGATCTCCATGACTCAAGCCCACTGCCAGCTTTCCCAAATCATCACAACTGTAAGTTCTGGGTACAGATAAACCAGGTTGTTCCACAAATTCATCTGCTTTGCTTATTGGTTGATAATTATTGAGGCTATTAAAATGCCTACTGTGAGTTAGTATTGATTTTCTGCAGCTGGTGTTTGCAAGCTGATTGTTTATCAGAGTTTGCAAAGTGATAATTTTATCTGTGTCAGTCTTAGCCTGAGGTCTGAAGGGTTTATGTGGTTCCAGTCTTCCAGTGACAATGGGAGTGCTCATTGATTGCAAGGTACCTTGGAGATCATGCTCTTTCTGTATCAAATTAGTATCTGATGGCATGTGGAGAAGAGGGCTCATGTTGACACTGAACGTTCCAAGTCCAGAAACCTTATCTGGGCTTTCACAAAACAGATTGTGGAGAGGTACTTGAAGGGAAACTACCTTTTCACTACAAGAGTTCAACCCTTCTGACATTACAGACACAATTACTGAAATGGGAACACCCAGATGAAGACATTCTTCAGCAGCACTGCTCCATGCACCAATAAAAAACAGAAGGGTATTGGTTCCAGTTCTGTAAGTGTTATGTTGTGCTCGAAGTGCTTCATTTAGAAGTTGTCCCACGGCACTAGTTAAATTTAAACTTTCAAGAAGTCTTACGGGTGAAGTGACTAGCGCACTTTCATGAGACTCTTCGTCTGTAACAAATTTGGATGCTTTCACTGGGCCGAGGAAAGTTCTTCCTATTTCTGCCAGTGACGAAAGCTGTTGAAGTCCCATGTGCCTTCTTTTATTTAGGATCTTGCAAGCCATCACCATCTTACCATCTGCAAAAACAATAAAAACTTGGAACTTTAGTTTTTGTTATGGTTATAAATGCTACACAGAAAAAAAAAGAAAAAAAATAGCCCTGACTTTGAGACTTTTTAGCATATAAAATTTCTATTAAATGCTATACATGGGACCATAGAAGAGGAGTACTTAGCCTACCTACTTCTCTAGGAGAGAAAAAAAATAACTCAGTGAAGTGTACATATAAATATATATAGATATATTTAAGGAAATAGCTCACACAATTGTGGAGGCCAGCAAGTCCCAAACCTGTGGGTTCTAGTCACATTACTGTTAAGTGCTGAAGAAGGCAAAATGCAGGCCAGGTGTCAGGCAGAAGGCATTTCATATACCAAGAACCAGGGCTCAGAAGATAATGTGGTAAATGAAGAACTAAAATAAAGAGCAAGGTCTGCCATAGTATCTATATAAATGTATAAGATGTAGGCCACAAGGAAACTCCTTCCAATTGACAGGCTGCTAACATCAGATCACAAAACAGCAGATGATTATATAATGTCTGCCAAACCACTGAGAACTATGGCCTAATCAAATTGACACAAAATAGTAACTACTTAAGCATGTATATCAGGGAAAGTAGATTATGCATACAGTAAGTATCCAAAAGTCCTTAAGTTCAATCTTGAAAGAAAACTGAAGGCTGCTACTAAATGTACTATATGTGAAAATCAAAATGAATGCCATTGCATGGAGTAACACAAGTTGTTTTGTTTTATACAGATGTAAAGAATGTACTGAAGATGTGGGAGACAAAGCTCTAGAAGAGGAAAGAGGTTAAACTATGTACAACATTGTGTGCTACACCAACGAGCTTAAATTTGATCCTGGAATGAGATCTACTACAGTTATCTAAGATTATGAGACAGCTTCATATGGTATATGAAGCATGTATTCTGAATCTAGAAGTCTGGGTTTGAACCTTACTGTTTTACTAGCTATGCAGTCAAACTGCTATTCCCCTCAGTTTCCACATTAGAAAATGGAGATAATACTAGAACCTAATTCAAGAGTTATGAGGAGTAGGGAGTTCTGGTTGCCTAGTGGCAAGAAGCTGTGCTGCAATTCCAAAGGCAAGCAGTTCAAATCCACCAGACACTCCATGGGAGAAGGAAGGGCAATCTCCTCCTGTGCCTGTCTGTTTTGATTCTAGGACACACAACAAGTTAAAAAAAAAAAAAAAGAGTTATGAGGAGTAAATGAGGATAGCGATTAGAATAGTACCCACTGTAGAGTTAGTGCTTTGTAAGTATTAACTCTAATAATCACAATGACTGTGTTTGGGATATATTGTTATTATGTGACATTGAGTCAGGACTGACACACAGCTGACACTCTAGCAGGTTTTCCAAGAAAGCAAACTGCGCAGGAGAATGCCCATCTTTCTACTGTGTAGCTGCCTTTAGACTGGAGAGCAATTCCTTACCAGGAGGCCACCAGAGTTGAAAACTCAGTATAGAGGACTGATTATACAGGGCCTGACAGAGGCAAGACAGGGAAATGAAAAATCTAGGTGGGAAACATGAAAAGTCATGTATGGAAGGTGGATTTGGCTACTAATTACGTTATGGAGGAAAACACCTCCCACAAAGGTACTATTTTAAAAGGGAGCTCAGGTGGCCTAGTGGTAAGAAACTGTGCTGCAATCCAAAAGGCACACAGTTCAAAACCATCAGCTGCTCTGCAGAAGATTGACAATCTCTTCCTATGTGATTAATTGTCGCTGAAAAACCTGCTGGAGGGTCAGCTATGGGTCAGTTCCGAGTTGAAGGCACAGAATAATAACAACAACTATTGTAAAAGGATGCTTAAGAGTAATTGGATATCTCTCTAGTATTATTTCAGAATTTATATCTAACAATAGGAAGAAGTTACAAGTGAAAAAGAACTTCCAAACAGATGCCTATTAATTAAAAAAGCTCTTTATAATAAAATTCCTATGATTTAATATGTATGCACCCTGTTTAAAGTACTAGGAGTAAATATAGATAACATAAACTTCTCTTTGAACTCCACGCCTTTATGATCCTTTGAGTGTTGTTGCAGTTACGTGTTGTCGAATTGAGTGTACCTTGATAGGGAGCTCTGGTGGCCAGAACTGACTTTTAAGGACTAAGGAGAAAAATATCTTAGGATAATACATAATGGATTATTTTAACTCGTTTATAAGTCTTCCTTTTTGTAAATATTTTAATTCATTTATTTTTCATTTCAATGAACATCTACAGAGATTTTGGAATTCCATTCATTCATTGTTGCACCCTTCTCCC